TATAGGTGAAAATATTAAGTGGCTGGGTACTAGCTACCCTACAAGTCTTTCCTTCACCTTTAACGTTTTACACATTTAACACAGTTGACTAGTATATTATCGGGCTTGATGTCTACCAAGATTGATCGTCAGTTGGTATATTGTCGGAATAGATTAATTTGAACTGCAGATCGTACCCATGTGCACCCAGTTCTTGCTATGTAGTTCTTGTATGGCTTCTCCTGTCTCCTGCAGAATTTTCTTCCGTGCTGCATCTGAGATTTCTGGATCGTCTCGAAGCAGTCCAAGCAGGGTATGTTGATAGAAGGGATAAATCAGGAATTTTTCGTCCTCACTGATATCAACGTGCATGCGAAGCCGACGAGATTGGGGGAAATCTGCTGCAAGACGTAATGACAGGTCGTGGAATGATCTGCATACTTGTTTTAAGACGAAAGACTCGCTATGAGATCTAAAAAGACTTCTGTTAAGAGACATCCTAGAAGTGAGATCTTGATGACGTACTCGGCTTTGAAGATATTGAATCTAGGGTCTTTGCACTCCCGGAGCAACTCGCGCTGAACATATACGCGACCTGACTTACCCACGATAGTAGATGTCATTCTGATCCCTATACGTGAAATCGGGTATATGCGATAGGACAAACGACTGGGAAGCATCTGTGGAGAGCTTTGAAGTCGGACTCTATGGGCGAAAAGCTGTCTTGATAGTGAGGGTTGATTTGTAGTGAAGGTGTAATGGTGTGTGCTGTCTGATTTGGTCAGCCGAATAGCCCGCTTCTTATGGTAGGCTAAGCGCTCACTTGGTTTCCTTCTGGCCAATCCGCGATGGCTTGTCTCACTACATCTTTTCACTTTGCCTACTTAATTATCTCTACTAAGAGGCCCTAATTATTAGGCAATCCACATATTGATATGCGATGTACTTGGTCGCTCAGTAGGGCTTGTACTACTGATCACTGACGTCGCATAGTCACGAAGATCATGGTGCAGCATCTGAAGACATACCCTCCGCTCTTAGTGATTCGCCTCGGGGTGTAAGCAGCTTGTAGGCGCTTCGAGGGCTATCAATGGCGCTTGAAGATTCACTTTCACTGCCACGACCCCGTGTTATTGTTGATTGCAAAGCCCGAGGTCGGCTTGATTGTTTGTTCATTCATGGCAAACCTATTCATTAGGCTAGACTTCCTTCTTTTCTCCTCTGTATATATATCAATATACCCTTCCTCCATTTTGGAAGCCAATTACTAGATATATCAGCAAAGTATCCTTCACTCATCACTTGTACCTCAGCTTTCCAGTATTTGCACCATACACAGACATCTTCCAACATGGCCTTCAACAAGGTCCTCTCTAGCACCTTCTTCAAGCAGGTGATGAACGGTGGTTGTGCGATTGATGTCAAATTCGCAACCAGCACCGAGGCCTAGAACCGAGTAGTGCTTTCATCGAGCGTCATGGACCCATTCGCAGATGCCATCGAGAAGGCCGATGTACCCACTGATGCTGTGGCTGCATTCTTAACGTAAAAAATACAAAGCATTGTGATAAGTTCGAATACTCACCTAAGAGCAAGAAAATTAAGCACTCCAGTGAGAGTGATCCTGAACCTCATTACACCGCTCAGTGGCAAGATGCGAACGGAAAGCACATCGAAACTACTTATATGTACAGCAACAAATAGATATGTATGTCAAATGACTCATGAATGGTTATTTGTGAGTACAAAATAGACAGATATATCGAATGACCACGAATGGTCATTTGCGGCAAGAGAGATGGGGTTAAGGGGATGGAATCGCGAACGCCTGTTCATCGACCTCAACACAGAAGTACGAATTTGAACGGAAGGGATAATAGAAGTAAATTTCAATTTTCTACAATCATTTATACTATCTTTGTGGAATTCAAATATCATATCTGCAGTGCTGGGGTGCAGAAGCTTAGCGGACCGTACATATGTACAGGTACCACACCTAACAAAAGTCCGATGTACATATTTGGTAGATGCAAAAGGAAGAATCACGCATAATTACTAGAGCAGAATTGATCTGGTCGGTTGTGAGAAATGTCAGTGACGGTTTGGTGGTTGTTCCCACTACGTTGGTGTTGAACGCGACTGATCGGCGTCTCGGTGCGGCGACGCCAAGAGTCGGAGCGGAGCTAAGTAATCGCGGGAGCTCTCACCTTCGTAATCCATAGCTGCCTCACAAACAGAGCCTCATCAACGCTGCACTATCTTCAATCTCTTACCTGCGGGTTTTACTTACGATTGCCAGGATAAGCACCACTTGCCTTGGTCGATTAATTTTCACATACAATCACTTACACTAGACCGCCACCATGTCCACACTCGAGGATCTCGATGATCTTGAGCGCCACGAGAAGGAAGAGAGAAAGGACGATGATAAGAAAGACGGCGGCAAGGATGGAAAGAAGGCCGACGGCGATGCGGACATGAAGGATGCGGAGCCAGAGGAGGAGCAGCTCGACGAGGAGATCCTGAACTCAAGTACACGAGACATCATTGCGCGGAGGCGGTTACTGGAGAACGACATGCGCATCATGAAGAGCGAGTTCCAGCGGCTCACACATGAGAAAGCATCGATGAACGAGAAGATCAAGGACAACCTAGACAAGATTGAAAATAACAGGTACGCCATCTCGGTGCCGGCGGTCGGCCCCGCAGCGTGTTTACCAACCGCCATCTTCAGGGCGATATGTTGACATTCTACAGGCAACTACCCTATCTTGTCGGAAACGTCGTTGAAATCCTCGATCTCGATGTCACAGCGGAGGCCGCTGAGGAAGGTGCAAATATCGATCTAGACGCCACCCGTGTTGGCAAGTCGGCCGTCATCAAGACATCTACGCGACAGACAATATTCCTGCCCCTCATCGGTCTTGTCGACCATGAGAAGCTCAAACCCGGAGACTTGATTGGTGTAAACAAGGACTCTTACCTTGTTCTGGATACACTACCGGCAGAGTACGACAGCCGAGTCAAGGCCATGGAAGTCGACGAGAAGCCAACAGAAAAGTACACTGATGTCGGAGGCCTGGACAAGCAAATTGAGGAGCTCGTAGAGGCGGTAGTCTGGCCAATGAAGGAAGCGGAACGATTCAAGAAGATCGGCATCAAGGCTCCCAAAGGTAAGCATAATGCTTGAGTGCCCAATGACACTAGCTAACAAGGCATAGGTGCATTGATGTACGGTCCTCCGGGTACTGGAAAGACGCTTCTTGCACGAGCATGCGCTGCGCAAACTGACGCTACTTTCCTCAAACTTGCGGGCCCACAACTCGTACAAATGTTCATCGGTGACGGTGCTAAACTGGTCCGCGACTGCTTCGCTTTAGCAAAAGAAAAGGCCCCCTCAATTATTTTCATTGATGAGTTGGATGCCGTCGGAACAAAGCGTTTCGATTCCGAAAAGTCCGGAGACAGAGAAGTGCAAAGAACCATGTTGGAGCTTCTCAACCAGCTGGATGGTTTTGCCTCGGATGACCGCGTGAAGGTCTTGGCTGCCACCAACCGAGTCGATGTCTTGGACCCCGCCCTGCTCCGTTCTGGCCGTCTGGACAGGAAGATCGAGTTCCCGCTGCCAAACGAGGAGGCTCGCGCACAGATCATGCGCATTCACTCAAGGAAAATGACCGTCGACGATGGTGTCAACTGGCAAGAGTTGGCACGCAGTACTGATGAGTTTGGCGGAGCTCAGCTGAAGGCTGTTTGTGTCGAAGCTGGTATGATTGCTCTCCGAACTGGTCATCAGAAGATCAGCCACGAGCACTACGTGGATGCTATTGCTGAGGTGCAGGCCAAGAAGAAGGACACGGTCAACTTCTACGCCTAAGGTGCGGTCAGATGGTGGTGGCTTTGCTGCTTGCAGGCATGTGTTCTTGTACCCGGCTTGTAATAATACTTAGACCTTCATCGTAGTACCACTGCCGAAATGACGAACATGAATGAATAAAGGTTGACATCTTTCACTATACACTATGCTTACTTTGTAGAGATGAGAGACACTAGCATGAGGGGGGGGGGGAGCATCCATTGTACTGTGTGTTCATATCCAAGACAATACCGATCAAGAGTTTGGTGTGGCCATATTCATCAATGCGGCGCATGTCACATGGCCAAGCAGAGTAATAGCGAAGTTGCCTCCACTTCCATCATCTGCTCCCAACCCCAAACAGCTCGCTGTGGACTACAGATGCCCCTCCCGGCACTTCACCCTCGAGCTTCCCTGGCACAGGAGGTGACTCCGGCAAGAAAACGGATTAACGACGAATTACAGGCCTCGTCATCACAACAGGTGTTGCGCCACGCTACCTATGAGCCCATTTTCGTGTTGCAACAGCACTTTACAGCCATGTCGTACCATTGTATTGCCCATATACACGTTTTTCTTTCAGCTCTCCTTCTGGCTGCCTAATACCAATGTGCCGTCTGTATCCTTCTCTCTGGCCGGTGGCACTCTATGTGGGTGGTGAACCGATCAGCATTTTGCTGACGATTGCGCAGAGTCTGCAAATGCCGACATGGTCCGGATCGTCAAGGACTAGATAATACAAAGTGACTTGCAGAAAGGGAAACAGGGCCGAGGGTATTGCGCCTCGCTCATGTGTTCAAGAGCTGACCACGTTCCTGCATTTCCATCAGTGGTTCTGGCACGCCCTTCCTCGCCCCCTCTGATTGGCTCACGTCCCAACAACGGACCTCAACCACCCAACCTCAACACCAGGCACGCTACACCCACGCTACACCCACGCGCAATGATAGCTCGACGTGATAGGCCGGTTATTCTATCGCCTCCCCATGGCTTCCCTGAAGATCTGGAGAAATACTCGGTCCCCCCAGGACCCTGCATAGCCGCCTCTGGCGGTTGATTAAGTTGGGGCACTTCTCGCGGTTCACTATCACACCCGACGTCAGTGCAAGGTTGCCTCGTACCGTCTTAGAAATTTCGAAGCATGTGGCGGGCACCATTGGCTGAAAAGCCTCAAAGACAGGGAAGACGTTGCCTTACACAGTAGGTGGCTGGCTTGCAATCATGTGGGGATGCATTGTGACGAACCGAAGTCGGAATGATGCTTCGGAATGTTTCTCATATAACCCCTCCATGGCGGGGTTTCTTTTTGTTTGACATTATAATCTCTTCTCTTCTGTGGTTCTTGATCCTCTGCTCTGTTGCAGCGTCGCAACTATGCTGGATTTCTCAGCCTTCGTTCCGCGTGACCCCTTCCATCAACTTACGCTCACCCTCTGTATCATTGGCCTCTTCCTTGCCGCCGTATTTGCCATTGCGCTTAGACCGAAGAGCAAAGGACAAGAGCCTAGCACCGTCGAGGCATACCTGAAGTTCATCTATGGCTGCTTCTTAAAGCCACACACTGGTGATGGATCTGGAAGCCAGCAAGACGCTCTTGTACGTCGAATACATAGATATACTCACCGTGACTGACAGGAAAAACAGGAGAGCTTCTACAAAGCACAGGCTGAAGTCTACGATGCTACCCGTACCAGACTCCTTTGCGGCCGCGAGGATATGTTGGGACTGGTCGCGGCGCAACTGAAACACCGCGCTGAAGCTGGTCTGATTTCACAACGCCCTGTCTGGGTTGATGTAGGTGGATGCGTAAACTAGAGTGGATTTTGATACTAATAGTGACAGATTGGTGGAGGAACTGGTTACAAGTAAGCGTTGATGTGCCAGTCTTACAGTATGATGCTAACAGACTTCTAGTGTTGAGCAAATGAACGCTTTTGTCCCAGTGACGAGCTTTTTCCGTTCAGTTTGTGAGTTTTCCAAGTCCCATGAATGAAGCACCACTAACTATTGTAGACGTCGTGGATCTCTCGCCTAGTCTCTGCGAAATGGCACGCAAGCGCTTCGCCCGCCTTGGGTGGACAAACGTCAAAGTCATCTGCCAGGATGCGCGTGCTTTCCGCCTGCATGAACACGAGCCACAAGCGTATGAACACAAAGAAAAGGTCTCCCAGGGTCACACTGTTCGCGACCTTGATGAGAATGCTGATGCTGGAGGAGCTGAGCTGGTCACCATGAGCTACTCTTTGAGCATGATACCCGAGTTCTATCCCGTTATTGACTCTGTGGGCAGCCTTCTGAGCCCTAACGGCGTTTTTGGTGTCGTCGACTTCTACATCCAGGATCAAGTGGACTTTAGGGGCAGGAACTATATTGGTGGTGCCATCGACCGTCATTGCATGTGGCTCTCACGAGTATTCTGGAGAGAGTGGTTCGCTATCGACAGAATTTCACTTGGCCCTGCTCGAAGAGTAAGTCAAGTTCTTCAATATTTACAATGGTTTCTAACCTGAGTCAGGATTACTTGGAGTTCAAACACGGCACCATCCTTAGTATGAACGCCAGAAACAATTTCTTCAACACTGGTATCAAGCTACCTTACTACATCTGGATCGGATGTTCAAAGGACCACGGTGCATCCACACAAAAACTCGCCAAGATTGATGCTGCTGCTACAGAATCCCCATACCTCAATGCGCTTGACCTTCAAACCGGAGCTGCACCAAGCGACGCAGAAGTCCACTCCAAAGCTTATGAGTGCGCGGTCGTCAATCTACAGTCTAGCTTGCCTCTTCCATCAGCATGGTACCAAAACCACCACTGGCGCATTCATTACGACTCGTCCCTTCCCAAGCACACTCGTTTCAACAACTCGTACATCTACGCATTCACCTGGGAAGATGATGTGGCTGACATGCGACTTCTGAAGCCAACTTCCAACGATGTAGTCCTCGCAATTGGATCTGCTGGTGACAACATTCTTGCTTTCTGCATAGAGAACTGCCGTCGCGTCCACGCTGTAGACCTCAACCCGTCACAGAATCATCTACTTGAGCTTAAAGTCGCTGCCTTCACTGCACTCGGCTACCAAGATGTCTGGAAACTCTTTGGCGAAGGCAAACACCCCGACTTCCACAACCTACTTATCCAGAAGCTCAGCCCGCACCTCTCCTCCGATGCGTTCCAATTCTGGGTCCAAAACGGTCCTTCCATCTTCTCTTCTTCGTCTTCCAAAGGTCTTTACTACTCTGGCGGCTCCGGAAATGCCATTGCAATCGCTGGTTGGCTCTTCCGCCTCCTAGGAATGACTGCCGACGTCAAAGCTCTGTGTGCGGCGCAAACCCTCAACGAACAGCGTGAAATCTGGCAACGCAGCATCAAGACGGTGCTCCATTCCAAGATCCTCACCTACGCCATCCTCGGCAACGAGAAGTGGTTGTGGAAAGCACTCGGTGTCCCCCCTGCTCAACGCGACGTCATCGAAGTCGACTTCAAAAAAACACAAGACTACGACGAGGCCAAAGCAACCAAACCCAAAGATGCCGCTGCAGAATACATGTCCTTCCACGAAGAACCCTCAGACGAGGAGCTCAAGTCTTCAAGCGGCAACGCAATCTACGAATACGTCCTCAACACCTTTGAGCCCGTAGTCAACACCACACTCCTCAGTACCTCAAACCACTACTACCTGCTCACTCTCTTGGGTCACTACACCCCAACCTCACACCCAACCTATCTCTCCCCCAAATCGCACGTCAAGCTCTCCAAGGCCGGTGCCTTCAACGGTCTGCGCATCCATACCGACGAAATCTCAGAAGTGATTTCGCGCATGCGGCCAGGCACTCTGACCATTGTCGTCGTGATGGACAGCATGGACTGGTTTCCACCCAACGGTACTCAAGCGCTTCGCCAGATCCGCGCACTGAATCGTGCACTCAAAGTCAAGGGCCGCGTTATGCTACGTAGTGCTGGTTTGGAGCCGTGGTACATTAAAGTCTTTGCCGAGTGTGGGTTTACGGTTAAGAGGGTGGCAGTCAGGTTGCCGGGAACGTGTATTGATCGGTATGTTGTCTCTTCCCTACTCCTTTCTTTTCATATACTATTGTATGCAGCTGTACTAACATGATGACTGTAGGGTAAACATGTACGCATCCACCTGGATTTGCACAAAGGAAGTTGATCTTGTCAAGGAGAATGGCATCAAGGTGGGTACGGGGCTGAGGAAGGCGTCATTGGCTGAGTTGCAGCTTGAGGCTCCCGCTATGCGTGTTGAGTAGGACTGGTCTTTTTCACCATTAGTGGCGGTTTGGTTTATGCTTCTGTTGCGTTTGAGTAGCGTTGTCGGGCGGTTGTCTGATGTTGTTGCATGAGTTCTTGTTTCTTTGTTGTTTTGTGTTGGATACCTGGCCTAGAATGCATAACAGTATTCTTTTATATCTACTTGGTGGAAAAACTGGCATCGATATCAGTAGTGTAGAGTAGAGTGGTGGTGGTTTGCAACTCGTTTTCGTTGCCCCGCTATTGCTACCTTTGTTAGATACTGCTCACACCATCTCAACTACTTGTTCGGGGTGCTTGTACACAAGTTCCCAGAAAAATTCACAAACTAACAAGTCATTTTCCGAAGGTTGAAATGCAAAGACACCAAATGCCTTGAATTAATCGTGTTTTTGACATTTGTAGCTGTATCGCGCCGTCTACCCGACTACACGTACAGCATTGTATATCGTCCAACCATTATCGTATAAGCCAACACACCACTACTGGTCCCAAAACAATTCTCGTCTTTACGAAAACAAGGCTTCTCAAGTCTATCTTCGCGCCTCAAAAGGAAAAGCGCCGGTGTCCTAGATGCAAGCAGCCCAAGGGCGAAACCCATTCCCAAAAGTTGTACAATCTGGTGAAAATCAAAGGTGGACGGATGCAGATTGCTGGGGGCTGGTTTAGTTGGAAGCACCCGAGTAACGCGCCTTTCCGACGGTGAAGGGGACGTAGCGGTATTTGATCATGTGCTGGATTTGTCGTCGCACTGTATTGGTTAGCCGGCGTGATGTAGAAGTAGGTAAGTAAAGCTTACTGGTCAGGCCAAACAGAATCAGCCAGTAAACGACCAAGACGGGCCAGAAGACGGGCAGGTTGAAGATCTCGAACCAGCTGCAGAAGAAGCCAATGGAAATGGCCTTCGTGGTCGAGTACCAAAACTTGAACTCGGGCAGCCTGCGGACGAATGGGCGGAATTCTTGGTCCTCTTTTGTGGGAAGGCCTGAGGCGTTGCCGTCTTCCATGCCTTCATCTTGTTCGAGCGCTGGGTCGAATTTGGGGGAGAGGAAGGCGAGGAAGAGGTTCAGGAGGTAGATGCCAAGAGAGTAGGCAACTGCAATTGTGGTCAGTAATGTGCATATTACAACAAATGCGTCGCTACATAGAACTATTCGGAAACTGTGGTATGTCGAAAGTGAAAGGGCAGATACATACCGATGTACCATCCCTGAGCGAGGAATATGCGCAGACCAAAGAGCAGGAAGAGGACTCCGGTTCCTCCCCATCGGTATGTGGTGTATGGCGTTGACTTGTCTAGGTATGCTTGGAACATCTGCGCAGCGCATTAGCAAATATGCCATCTTCCAAAAGCCAGTTCGGCTTGTATTTCCGTCGCCTCGTTTATATTATCGCGCGTCGGCAAATAAATGCGCGATGCCCCCTGGGGAAATAACCTACCCGTCCATACTTTGTTGTTTGCGCTGTTACCGCAGAGAAGGGGGTATCCGGCTCCGGGGCGTCCATGGCTGCGTCGCTTGCTCTTCGGTTTTGTGCGATGAAGACTGTATCCTGAAAATGGCGACACTGGCGATGGTGTGGTCGGAATGGCGCGTCTTTAGTAGGGGCAAGTTGTTGAGTCGTGTCAAAATCATGAGCCTGCGGAACAGGGCTGTGGCTGAGGGCGGCACACAGTTGGGGATGGCGCTAGGCCCAAAAGACTTTAGGAGGCGTCATTGGCAGCTTCCCAGCAATTCCAGGCTTTGGCGGGCGCTTTACCGAGGTGGCCGATTCTACCCACTTGGAAGGGAAGCTATGTAAGTACATATACGTGTGCTCTCTCTTCTTCACACGTGCTCTCCTTGATCCAACTGCAATATCAAAGAGCTGGTCTCGAGAGTGAAGGTCCAATTGGCGATAATCAATATGCAAGCATTCCGCTCAGCACCAAGGGTAGCCTCCCAGTTCCGGTCTACCGGACTACCTAGGTTTGTGAGGGGAATCACTACCAATAAGCCGTACGAGCATGTGCTTGTTTCGGTGCCAAAGGAGGGTGTTGGTTTGAGTAAGTACGAAAGATGGATTTTCAATTCTTCATTCAAATATATCAGTCTTGTATCATACGGTAATGCTTCAAGCATGTTTGCTGACAGCATCCAGTCCAGCTTAACCGGCCAAGGGCTCTCAATGCTCTTTGCACCCCTCTGATCCTCGAGGTCAACCAGGCCCTGCGTGACTTTCAAAATGAAAAGTCAATTGGTGCCGTCGTCCTCACTGGTTCAGAGAAGGCTTTTGCGGCAGGCGCCGACATCAAGGAGATGAAAGACCTTACTTTTAGCGATGCGTATGGCAACGACTTCATAGAGTCTTGGTCAGATCTTGTCACATTCCTCAAGAAGCCTCTCATCACGGCTGTCAATGGTTACGCACTCGGAGGAGGCTGCGAGCTCGCCATGATGGGAGACATCATGTATGCGGGACCTAAGGCAACATTTGGACAGCCAGAGATCAAGCTGGGCGTCATTCCCGGTGCGGGTGGATCGCAGCGCTTGACAAAGGCAATTGGCAAATCAAGAGCCATGGAAATTATTCTTACGGGCGACAACATCACTGCGCAACAAGCAAGTGAATGGGGACTTGTTGCAAAGGTGTTCGAGACACCAGAGGCATGCGTCGACGGTGCCATTGCAACAGCGGCCAAGATCGCATCTTACAGTCAAATCGCAGTCAAGGCGGCAAAGGAGGTGGTGAACAAGAGCCAGGATCTCGGTATTCGGGAAGGTGTCGAATACGAGAGGAGGGTGTTCCATGGCTTGTTTGGAAGCCAGGACCAGAAGATTGGCATGGCTGCTTTTGCGGCCAAGGAGAAGGCCACTTGGACAAACAAATGAGCGACAAAACAGAGATTACGTACATGTAGTCGCCAAATCAAGTCATGAGTTTGCTCTTCAGCTATTCTTGCTAAAAATGGCAAAGCCTAACAAGGCACTTGCAGAGCATGGCAATGCTAGAGATGCATCCCGTCTCAATTCAGTTAGACGGGCCTCGGCATAACTAATGATTGAGATAAGTCAGCTGGCTTATCACACGTGACAACCCGCACGCGTGCATGGGCGTGTGACATGACGCGATCACTGTGGGGAACACTGCGCCATCTAATATGCTACTGCTTCCCGGTGCATCCGCCCTTTACCCATCTCATCTTGCACCATGGAAGCTACTCCACCGTGGCTACGAGACGCTCTCCGCTTTGCGTTGACAGCAACACCGTCCACTCCAGCACCATGGTTCCAGCATGACTACGACAGCTTTAGAGCCGCTGGCGGCGGCCCCCTTTTAGATCCTGATGACCCTGGAAAAGACCCACGCTTTAGAAAGCTAGTCGTGGCTATCCTATTTAGTCGGAGGCTCCTAATTACCTACAATCTGGTCCTGGTGGCCGTCTTGTTGGTCTTTTCGATATGGCACTGGAGCGAGAAGCTCATATTGCACCGGCGGAGACGGGAAGCTGCCGCCCAGACGCACAATAACGAAGCCTACAGCACAGAAGATACAGAAGCTTGGAGTAGCTCAAGTAGCACTATAGAAGGCAGTGCAACACCACCGGGCAGCACCACTGTGAAGACATCCAACAGCGCCGATGAATCCAGTCCCCTGCTTCCTTCACGACGGCCGCAACCCAAGCGCGTTGGTGTATGGCGACCATTTTACATACTCAAGGCCGCTCTCCAATACCAACCGCCTCGCATACCCATCATCAACAAAACCCTTCCTACCAACGCCGTCTCGCTGCTTGTCCTCGCATGGGTTGGCTTGAACATCTTCTACAACCTCTACCGCATGCCTTTGACATTCGTCTACCTCTTCGTATTTGGCGACCGATGTGGTCTTATCTTCGTCGCAAATCTGCCTCTGTTATACCTTCTGGCCGCGAAGAATCAGCCCATCAAGTTCTTAACAGGCTATTCATACGAAAGCCTGAACATTTTCCATCGAAGAGTTGGAGAACTCATGTGTTTGGAGGCTTTCTTGCACTTTCTGGGCATGGTAGCCGTATGGTACGGGTCGCTGAGACATCTGGGTTTCACGCTGGCCAAGTTCCTATTCAACCGCGTGGTTCTTCTAGGCTTGGCTGCCTTTATCGCATACGAGTTGATCTATTTTACGAGTCTAGGCAGTTTTCGGCAAAGGTGGTACGAGATATTCCTGGGCCTTCACATAGTGCTCCAAGTCGCCGGACTAGTGTTCCTATGGTTCCACCACCATACCTCCAGGCCATATGTTGGTATTTCCCTCGCCATCTTCCTCATTGATAGACTGGTGTATCGGCTGTGGCTGAAATCGAGCACGCATCCCGCAACCCTTACCGTCCTCGAAGATGACGAAACCTTCCTCGTCTCCGCAAACTGGGAAGTAGCTTCTCGAAAGTCTACACTAGCACCGAAGAATATGAGGCAAGGGTGGAAACCGAACGAGCACATCTTCCTTACTGTACCCGCCTTATCCCGCAAGCACGCCATACAATCTCATCCCTTTACCATATTTTCCGCCGCTCCAACAACAACAACAACAACAAACGACGATTCGCAAGGAAAACACGCATGGTTCACTCTGCTTATCCGCGCCCAAGCCGAATCAGGCTTCACCCGTACCCTCCTGCAATATGCTCGCACCACTACACAAACTCGCATCCGCCTTGACGGTCCCTACGGCTCCTCCCACGCTCTGGACATGCTCGAAGCTTCCAATACCACCATTCTCATCGCAGGCGGCTCTGGAATCGCTGTCGCATATCCCCTTCTTCACTCCCTTCTCTGCCCCTCTTCAATCGATCCCGAAACCGCTTCCACCCGCACCAAGAGGAAAGTCAAGTTATTGTGGATTATGCATGCACCCGACCACCGCCTGTGGATCCCGGAAAGTAAATTAGAAGAACTTGAAAACTGGGGCTTGGACGTGCTCATTCCGCCCCCGACTAGTACGGCTGGACGACCAAATGTTGGATACATTCTGAGGGAGTGGGTGGAGCAGGAAACAAGGAAAGGGGGGAGAACGGGTGTTGTGGTTAGCGGGCCTGATGGTTTGGTGAGGGATGTAAGGAATACGTGTGCGAAGATGATATACAATGGTAGAGATGTAGACGTTCAGGTTGAGAAGTTTGGGTGGTGATATTATCTGGCGCCCCTTTTTTGTTGGCTGTTTTGGGTACGTACAGGATATGTTTATAGGTTCCCTCCTGAAGACTGAATATAAATCAAGCGACCACGCTGTTCTCCTTTCTTAAATGTCTGCCTTTTCGCGGAAGTTTTCGCAAGTGTATCTGGCGATGTGGCTGCGACTCGACGCTACCGCTGCATTGTGAATGACTAGAAGGATGTATGTCAGGGGTTATTACGCATGTATTCCTTCAGGTTGAGAAATGTCTAGCGAAATTTGGCTTCAGACCTGCAAAGACCACTCCACGAATTACATCGAGGATGTATAAGCTAACGGGTCTCCTGAATGCTGCATCGCAGCATACTATACCTTTTTGGGACATGCAATGCAGTGGAGCCGGGCTGTCGTGTAACCATTCAGCTCACTTCAATCTAGATCAGGATCTAATTATAGTGATGATTGGCGAGGGTCTTGGTATGACGCTAGATATTGATTTGGGTGTGATTCGCGTAGGCATGTTGTTATTGCGCAGCAGCCCATCAGGCTGATACAGCCTGCCTTGAGTGTTGTTATTTCGTCTAGCCGTGCATTACACCTCCAACAGTCAGATATCACCATCAGCACACTCAACATGAGAGAAATTCATGAACTACATTCGATAAACGAATCTACAACAGGCAGCTCTTCCTTCGATCGCGACTTCGACAAACGCAGGCGCGAAGATCAAAAACACGAACTGCAATCTTCCGACGTGTCCAGTAATCAACACGGTAGTATCAACGCAACTAGCGGTATCAACAACGATGCTTTGTTCGAAGAGTACCCCCTTCTCTCTTGTTTACAGCTTGTTGCTCACCACAAGGTATTCCTCTTCTCAGTAAGCCGAGGCCGGAAGTGGAACACACGAGAGCGTCTAGGTCACGGCATCACTTTTGATGTGGAGCAAGCTGATCTGCCTGTTCGAGAAGCAGTCTCAGATTTACAGTATTATGATATCAGCAAAGGTGTACGTCACGGCTTCATCACTGATCACACAGGTATTCGATGGGGCTACGACACTGTTGTTGCGTACAAGAGTCTGTATGCGCAAGGGCGAATGAACAGAAAAAACCTTTTCTTAGGTCTGCTCAAGGAACTGAGGATTTTGTGCCATCCACCACTCCAAAAACATCCTTACATTGCTCGCTTCATCGGGCTCGCCTGGATTAGAGAAGAAGACATTACATCAGAAGCGATCGATGAAGATGCGGATACGAAAGAACCGCGCGAGTGGCCTATTCTTATCACTGAGAGGGCCGAATTGGGCACAATCGGCAATTTTTTACGCTATAGAGCATCTTGTTTGAAACCCATCTCCCTTCTTGCAAAGGTACGCCTTCTCAGTAATGTACTAGAGGCTATATCGGTAAGCGTCCTATAATTCCTACTTGACATGGGATATTCTAATTTTCTCTGGTAGGATTTACATGACTGCGACATAATACATGGCGATATAAAAAGCAGTAATGTTTTGGTATATACCAACTTCAATGGTACCGCAGAAAATTGGACGGCAAAGGTGATCGATTTCAGTCATTCAGCAATACTCGACCAACAAGCCTCAAACATGACCAAAAGGGACCAACTTGTTGGCACTGACTTTTACAAACCGCCAGAACTTGGGAAGCCCAAAGCAACTTTCTATGGTGGCATTGCTGACAGAGTCGACATATGGTGCTGGGGGATGTTATTATGGGAAGTGCTTCTTGATGGAAAAATAGATGTCACTACTGAGTTTATGCATGAGTTGCGTAACACTGGGAGAGTTGCAGAGTATGCTTGCAAAAGATGCAAGGAATATCTTGAGACTCATCACAAGGACGAGAGAAGGATGTTCCTTGCAGTGCTAAAATTACTTGACGAAGCTCTATTGGAAGATCCACGACGACGTCCATCCGCTGCATCTCTCATCCCTCACGTACGACTCCTTTCACAACATGCGTAAGTTAATTTGTAGTCCGAGTATCTGGGATCTTACTTCTTCCCGCATAGGAAACTGATTTGCACAATAGTTCGTTCAACATTCAGTCTCATCGTAAATTCGACAGGGTTGCTCCCCTACACACCATACCTTTCTTTGATGTGAGTACGCCAGTTCCAGGAATTTAGCAAATTCTTATTATTTGCAGCTCATGCACCAATACTTCGGTCTTGTAGACATGCTGTATATTCCCGGCCAGGTTGTTGAAGCCCTCACAGCTTTAAGCATATCGAACAAGGCCAACAACAAACCCGAGGTCGACTTCCAACTTGGTTTATGCCATGCAGTTGGCTTTGGCGTCAGCATCGACCACAAAGAAGCAATTCGACTTTTCTCGGCTTCGGCAACTAGGGGTTTCCAAAAAGCTCGTCTGCTTCTCAAAAGGATCGCAACCGCCCTGAACATCGCCCTTGATCCTGAGATCGAACATCTAGCTCTCACATGGCGTGATGAATCTCGAAAAGGTGCCATTTCGGAAAATCTTCCGCGGCTTCTTTTTCTACCTTCCCAGCATAGCATAGAATCTATAACAGGTGAGCGCCATTTGGTGCAGAATGGAAATTCATCTATCAATGTCACTACCAGTATCAGGCGGTTAGTCGAGGCTATCAAGCACAGGGAAATGGAAGAGATTGAAGCCCTTGCCAGAGGATGTGAGAATATCAACCAACAGCTAGATACTGGCGAGACTGCTCTCCACTATGCGGTTCTCTCTCTTGACCTTAGCATCGTCGCTATTCTCCTACACTTCAAGGCAGACGTATCCTTGTGCACCACAACTGAATGTGAACTATCAATTCCTGGATCAACAGAAAACTGGATACCCTCAAATGTATCTCCGATCTCGCTGGCGGTGTTGCTCGATCGTGTAGACCTGCTGGAAACCTTGCTGGAACATATAACCAGGGAGCAAAACGGACTCAAGCATAATCAGACAATCGTCAATCTGATCGCTTGGGGGGCGCAATATCAGAGCATTAACTGCATTGAACGACTTTGTAAGCAGCTCAAATGTAAACCTGAGCAGCCGTTCGATGATCTGGGGGTCAATCCACTGTCTTACGCAGTGCGAAACGACTACCTCTTTCGTCTTGTTCTGTTCACCTCTTCGTCCAGCCCCACCGACCTCAAAACCCCACCAGTAGTGAGTCGTCAACATGAGATTGTCCAAAAGCTTCTCGAAGTTGGGTTTCCGTCATCAGCGAACGAGAGTACAGAGTTGAACTGCTTGCATATAGCCGCCGCTACATCAGATGTGGCTCTTTTGACATTGCTACTGGACCATTGCAAGACTTCTGACCAGAATGCGCTAGAGAAGATATCCCCGGAAGGTTTTTCTCCATTAGGAGTTTCAATAGTTCACAGACGCAAAGACCTATACGATGTGCTCATGGAAGCCGGGGCGAAACATTACAACGTTTGGCCCGAAATGCGGGGCGATGCTATACACTGCTGTACGTTGTATCCAAGCGCAGAATCGTTGGTGATTGCAAAAGAAATATTGAAAAAGCATCCAAGAGCGATCAAGGTCAGAGATAAAACTGGGAGAACACCATTACACTGTGCAGCGCTTCGAGACTACGACGAGATGATCAAGATTTTGATCGATGCTGGCGCCGACTTATCAGCTCGTGATATGGACGGCTACACACCGTTGGGCGCAGCAGTTTCCTGGAGATCTGTAAGAGCTATCAAACTAATATGTGCTGCTCTCAAACGGAAACGCCAGCCACTTGTCAGCTGGACATTTACGGATACTATATTCGGATTTGGTTTGTTGACCTATTCACCATTGGAGCAGTTACTAAGTCCTGGCACCATCTCTCCTGCACGAGAGCCGGAGCTGCTCTTAGGTGCCAATAGATTGGAGAGGTTTGGCTGTTGTGATCACCCATTTTCGCAAAAGTCTCTGAAAGTGCTGGAGATTCTGCTCGATAGCTATACGCACACGACACGACTAGGCACCAACTTTTGGGAGCATTTGTTCTTTCCCATGGATTCCTATAGCGGCACGCAATTCGCAGTTTCAATGGGCAACATCGAAGCTGTCAAACTCCTTCTGAAGTCTAAGAAGTTCACTTACGACTATAGATACTTGGTGTTAGATGCACACAACCAACGCGCAACGGGACAGAATCACATTACTGACGAAACAACAAGAGAAGACATGCTTGAATTTCTTGAAGAGTACCATGATGAGCAATTCAGGTCTCGTTCTGAGCGCAGAAGAAGCTCGGGGCTTTCCCTAGCATGGAAGCTATACTACACTTGTTACGGCAATTTGGAACAAGAACAGTGGAAACGGGCCAATGCATGGCTCAGAGAAAACCGTTTTCATCAATACCGCCCGCTTTTTCTTGAGTTTGTGCCATGGGTCCGAACGCGCTGGTCCCTGGATATTGTCGCCTTCAGTATTGGATGGATATTCATGGCGCCGATGATTGTCTATTTCATCTTGATCCATCGAGTCCCGCCTACAGAATGTCCTCGTCCCAGATTAGTATATACAATCATTTCCCTGGTAATGGTTAGTAGCGAACAATGAAGCTGTGGGATTGGTTACTAAAAGTAAAGCATAACAGGCGAATTTCTTCCTTTTAGCGCGACAAATCTTCTCAATCTTCTCGATACTATATCGAAGCTTCAGATCAAAGTACCATGGATATGACAGGCCGCTTGCGCTGATGCAATGCGCCTTCTCCGTGTTTGTCATTGCCGGTTGTTGCTATCTGTGTTATTTACTTCAACCCGAGCAAGAGATGCTCTTTCCTTTCGTCACGTTTCGTGACTATACGGCAAAGCAAAAGAGTTGGATATCAACCTTTGGAAGCTTGTCTCAAGCTCTCGAGGGGCTACTTATAGCAGTACCTGCGTAAGTTGCTTATCCTTTAATTGCTGCTCATGCTAACCGACTCTGGACACACAGGGCGGAATTCCTTATCGTATTCGCCACTTTTTTTTCTGAAAGAATAATGAAGAGGGAATCTGGAGGAAGAGTTAATACGGAACCAAAACCTAAGCATGAGAATCACTATACGGTCGTCATGACATGGTCTCAAATGGGGTACTGGTTTGGCTAGCTGTGGTAGAGTAGACTTGTATAGTCTACTTCTCGTGAATTTTATCTTATTTTTGTATACTTTCTGAGACACAGGGACAAGAGGATATGTACGAATTTGCCCCATCCCCTGAAATGAAGACTGTAAGTACCGTTGCGTAACTATACGGACCGAATTGTCAGAGACATCATCTAGAAATGATATTGGGGATGGAGAAGCTTACGTGGCGCCAGCAATGAACATCTCGACGGTCTTTGCTTTTGTAACGAACGAAAGCAACGCAATAAAGGCAGTCGTCCCGAAGAAAGACGCGACAATACGGGGTACGAGCTTGTTTATTCTTTCCACCACTATCACCGGGACTATAATCGCCAGTCCGAGTAAACACGACATTATCAATCTGCTTATAGCATTTGCCCAACCTTCCAGTAGGATGAAGATGCGAGGGTCCTGGGATACTTTACTGCGAAGTCCCTGCACGTCATGATCAATATAGCTGGAATGAATGGATCGCCGTTCGGGCTGCTTACCAATCTTTCGAGGCCGTGAAATCGTGTTGACAACCACTTGACTAGATCTTCCACAGGATCTTTCAATTGGCTCAACGCTCCGTCGGTGGTGGATGCTCCCACAGACATGAGGTCCATTGGACTATTCAAGTAATCCATCTCGCTTTTCGTTATGCAGCCCGTCTCGTTAACCCAATTCCTAATATTTGTAATGTCTCTCGGCTTTGCCGCTTCCATGCATAAAATCTCACTATTCCTTTTTACCAATTGATCTAACGAGGCTAAGCTTAGCACTTACGTTATAAGCTGCATCCACACGGCAGATATAATAGCATACCATATGACTCGAGTGCCGTATCAATCTCTTTCATGATATTTTTACGCTCTTCATTCTTGTCTCGACGACAATTTCCCAAGAAGAGCACACGGGGCTCTTCACGATCAATTCGGTCCAACTCTTGCTCAAGGGTAACAAGATTGTCCTGCTTGTACAGCACGAGGCGTCCTCGTAGACGTAAGAAGCGTCTTGAAATGTGGAATGATGGATGGGTGCTGGTCAAGGCAGCAAATCTTGGGTAGCCGTCTGGAAAATCTTCAACTGTAGGTATTCAGTTCCACGGTTCTTGGAAACCCTTCCAGTTTTGAACGTACTGGTGTATTGATCATTGTTCGATACATAGTTTGCCATCTTTCGACGCCTCAGCTGCTCGATTATCAAGAAAAAAAAATGCGAAATAAATGCTGCGCAATGCTTAGACTTAAGCAAACAGATGTAGGTAGGCACCAGACCTCATGGGGCCAGCCTTGCCTTCTTACGTACATGCGATTACCTTGCATATGCAGGCTTGGAGGCAGCGCCTCGGCTTTGGATGTATTGGATGGTCGAAATCGTCCTTCTCGCCGGGTACTAAGGAACCAAGCGCTCTTCTATTGGAGCCAGGTGTTCGCTTTTGCCAGCACCTAGGCTTAAAAAACGATCAGCGCCCCAATGGTTTCTGCCATAACCGTCGCATCTACTACCCAACCTCTGCGCCAAGTGCGCCAAAGTAAAGATGGCCAACAGTTACAAGAAGTAATAATATCGCTCCTCTATGTTGTAAGATATCTGATTAATCATAGTCGCACACCAACACCGGACCCCGAAAGCCTTGGGGGTAGACCCAGTATCCCAGAGAGTGAGGTCAGTCAATTGGTTCTTCAACCTGACATACGCACACGTTTTACACCTCACAGGGAACTCGGTATACGGTCGGCGAAAAGGTCTTTTACACTGCACCTGGGCAAAATGCCATGAAGGGCCCATATCTCATTGCCTCAAGACCGGGCAGCGGGCAATATACGCTGTGCGACGAAAACGGCAACCCAGTAGAAGGGGGAGTAGCAGTAGCCGAGTCAACTCTAATACTCTGCCCTTGACTCGATAAGAAGAAGTAGATTGTATCAAGAAGCAAACGATCCATAGACACTATACATTGACTTTACGTTCCTCTCTTGTCGGATCTGCCTCTAGTCTTTTCAGGACATCATCTTCGAAACGCCTAATCACTTCATGGCTGATACCTGTGTCTTTCTTGCCATCGACAAATTCCCCTTTCAAACACAAGATAGTAGCTCTCTCATAGGCCTCGCCCATGGGATGTTGCAAGGAATTTCCCATCTTCTTGATCAGCTTCTCCTGGACTATAGCTGGACCCTGTCTATCAATATAGCTACTGAGAAGCTCGGGAATACAGTTCCAAAGACCAATCTCCATCAAAACCAAACCCAACGAGTAATAATCATGGATTTGGGTGTGCCGCACCTTTGGTGACTGTCCTTGCCGATCAGGGTGCTTGTAAACATCGACATCCGGGTTGTGGATGTGTATGTCCCTCGACAACTCGTTTTCGGCCCTGCTGAACTCAAACCCGCACAATAGGGGCTCATTGTACCTGATGTTGCCATCAGCTGCTTGGAGGAACACAATGTTATGACTTGCAATGCCCTGATGCAGCCAGCCAGCGTTGTGCCACTGCAGGACAGCTTTGCACATTTTTCTTGCTATACTGAAGCGCTCCGCGAGGTTAGGCTTTCTCAACTTCTCAGTCTTTGTTTTGGAACGGGATTCGGAGGTCCGCGCTTCCAGGACCTGGCGCAAAGATACCACGCTGGAAAAGTCGGTGCGAGGGCACAAAAAGATTAGAGCAAAGCGAGCCTCTTTCTTCTCGTGTGAAACGGTAAGACACATTGGAGTGTGAAAGCTTCGCGGGTCGGAAGTATGAAGAACAGCAGCAAGACGATTAATTCCCCGTTCGCAGAGGGCAATGCCGTGAGCATCGCTTCTTTCGTACAATTTGTACTCCACTAAAACACGAACTCCCCCATATTCTGATATAACAAGAGGTACAGACAAGTCGCGTGTTGCCTGTGCTTGAGTGATTGGCGGTGTTTTCTCCAGAGTTGGGAAGTCTGAAGGAAAGTTCACTTCGCGTCGTGCGCGCAAGACATGCATAACGTCGAGGCCTTCCAGAGCACTGTCTTCGATAGCAGAAACCAAGACTTCCTTTTTCTTTAGCTGGGGAATTGATAACACACCCCTCTGAACTACTCGCTGCAAGGCTTCTAAATTCCTCTGAAATTTCACAAGAAACTCAACCATGATCTCATCAGTAACCTCTTCTGATCCTCCATTCACGGATAACCCAGCCGTGAGGTTTTGAACGGCTGATACCAAGTTGATCTTGAACATGTCCCAAGTACCGCAAACTTCTCTTTGTGATTCTTCTGGCAGGTTGTGCAGTGCTGCAACTGACCTTTCGCCTCCTCCGTCTCTACGCATATACTTCTGTAGTTGGGATGTTTTTTGTGTCATTTCTTCAATTCTCACAAACGCAACTCCTCTAGGAGCGTGTGTTTTGAGCCAAACTATGATTTTGTCCAAGGTAGAGTTGTCTAGCGGGTCCCAAGTCCAGATGCGAAGGGAGAGCGAACCGGAGTTTTCGTCATGATTGTAGGAGCGCGGAACTAATTTGGACAAAGGGTCAAGCCGTATCGTGCTGTGAGGGCCGTGAAGGCCCCAACGAAGAGGGGTTTGCATAAGTCGCCCATCCCGGCTAGAAAGTGAATCGTAGATGTCAGATATCACAATGTACCCCTTCTTTTCAAGTCGATTCTCTGCTTCCTTGAGAAATTTGGTCGTAAATGAGTGCTCTCCAGGAAGAGCCGTTTTAACCCTCATAGCACAAGAAGCGATCAACTCGACGTTGGGCGGAGTGACGCGGTCTGTTGTTCTCGCAGCTTGGGCAGCAAAACAGCAGTCCAGAATGACCAAAACATGCCCATTGACTGTATTTAAACCCGGTTGTATATCCGACCAGCGCACTTTCGGGCTGCTTGATCCTGGGTTTGCTGCCCAGACTGATTTCCGTGGCTCACGACCATTTATGTCCCTGATTATGTCTTCGTCTCCATGTCCTCCATAGTGGATTATTCCCAAGCTATTATTTCTGTGCAAAGCTTCTTTGAATTCAAGGATCCGACGTTCCACTGCCATCTGGCTACGACGTTCTTCTAGAAGAGGTATCTCGTATAATTCGGCAGGGTAGTTGAGTTTGGAAGTGAAAAAGGAATGGACTTGGTAGGCTTCTTCCTTGAAGCCTTCTGTGTCGTGCTCCCAGTAAATTATGAGACACGTGATGTGATCATAATCGTTTCTGCGGTCTCGCAAAAAATGGGCGCCCAGAACTCCATTCGCTTGATCAAGAGAATGTTGGGGAGGATTCGATGTGCTCATGGTGATGAGAATGCTGAATAAGAAGGTGTATGCCACGACCAAAATTCTTTTCTCTGCCAGCTACATACACCTATCTTCATTCCGATGGTCGACTTTTGGGCTCTTCCGGTGAGTCTGTTTTTGTTCAGCCTTGCATCCTGGGTTGGATAAGGCAGACATGCAGGAATCATGTGTACAGTCATAGGGGTGTCCAAGCGAATAATGATCGAGAATCGTATTGGAGGTTGAAAGCTCGCTAAACAGATCGACCTTGTCCCGTAGTGAGTGGTCCACGTTTCCTGTAGCTGAACATAGCCTCTTCCTTCGCCCCGCTTTTTTGACCTATTACACACCACAGGCTTGTTGTTGATGGCTAAGTGCACCCGAACATACATGCATCTATCCTTTTGTGTGCATTGGAGCAGGGTCAAAGATAATATCCTGTTGTAGTGAAGAGGTGGAAGTAGTAAAATCAGACCATGTTGCCTGCGTAAAGTAGTGATGACAAGACCAGCACATGGTTCTTGTCGTAAATGAGATCACACTTGGAGGGGTGTTTTATCTACGCTTATATTGCCATGGTCAGATTCTTAATAATCGTTGCGATGAAAAAGATATTTCACCCTTTTGCCATTTAACGACTTTCCCCAGAGTAAGGAGAAAAAGGAATAGACCAAGTAGACTGTTACCGCGTCTGCCCATACCATGCGGTATTTTACATTTCAAGTCGATGTCCCCATCTCACAGCCACTCAGCCCTCTAGCTATACCACCATTGCCACAATTGCAGCGTCTACAGTAGCACAACTAGTCAAAGGTTAAAAAAAACCCACTCCTATATGCACATAGATTTCATTGAACTCTCGATCCAACACTCCTCACACCTGGCTTCTCTACAACCCACCAATCATCCTACCATCATTTATAAACTTCCCTCATACACCTCCACCCACCATGCTCTCTCCACAAAGACCCTTCCATCCACACCAACAACGCTACCAACCGTTCGAACGGCCCACGCATACAAACGAACAAAAGAAAACACTCCTACACAACGTACTCACACACCCGCATCTGCACCTGCACCCCCCCAACGCACGCACATACAAAACGGCACAACACGCGATGCACACTCCCTCCGTCCCGCCCGCGGAACTTCCCTCTCCCAAAAAAAAGAAAAACAGAAAAGCCCCAATCGAGTATGCAGAAGCGGACATTGACCATGCAATTTACCGATTTTGCGCATATTATGCTCACACTCATTTTGTTTGCCCTATGCGGTGCCCGTGTGCGTTCGCGCGTGCGCGCATGTGCGTTCTGCCTTGTTTGCCTGTGCCTGTGCCGTTCCGAAAGGCGCGTGCATGCAAAATGCAGGTAATTTCCTTGTATTCTTGTCCGCTTTCACACACACACACCTGCACCCCCATGTAGCTATCATCTCTTTTGTTTTCCTAAAAAAGAAACACACACACACACACACACACACACACACACACACACACAGGTCTATGCTGGAGGGAAGAAGGGAGATCATTGCGGTATGATCCACAAGACCTGGTGATCATCATAATGATGATAATAAGAAGAAGGATTGGATGGGGTGGTATTTTGTTTGTTCTAGTCAAGGATACCGAGCGTTGGACACAAAAGGCCAAGGAACCGGCATTTTTGACATGGCGTTGGCGGCAATGGGATAAGTTGCGCGTAAGTAGTGATCCTAGCAAGGAAGGGGGGAGGGGAAAGAGGGTACGCAATGTGATTTGCAAATTACGGGTGGGCTATTTTGGCATGTGTGGTGCAGTCGCAAATTATTCCCAGTACGAGATTTTCGCTGGGGTCGGAAAGAACTTGAAACAAGACCATCGTCATGGTCCAAGATCGGGCTGTCGTATTTATCAAGCCACATTCACGGGATTCCCAGGTATTGTTTGATTCATGATGTTACCGCGTACCTGTTGTCGGGGAAGCGTAAGACCTCCCCCATGTCCATAGCTAAAACACGGAGCTTGAAACCGATAAGCGAAAGCGAGTTGTGTCGATCGCAATGGCCATCTTCCCGTCTCCCTTCCCAACAAGTGGCGCGGGAAGGAAATGTTCCTTGTTACAGGACCTGATCCATGCTCCCGTTCAAACAAAAACTTGAAACATTCGGCCTGCCCCAGCATGGCCCGTGCGCCCAGGTTACCCAGGCCGTCTTTCTGAAAGCATGTACCTGTAAGCTGGCGGGCCCACTACAGGTACAGACTGGCACAATTGCAAATGTCCCTGTTTCAGAAACTGCCGTCAGCAAACAAATTCCGTGGTTATTTAACACCCTGGCCGTGGAATTCGGGACGCGATTCCGGACACAAAAAAGATGCACATACCGTTTGATAAGTTCCTGGCATGTTCCCATCTTCTGGAAGAGCGTCGGATCTCCGATAATCCGAGCTGCGTTCTTGACTTCACGACATGTCTCATCCAGACGAGTAATGACGCGGACAATTGTACCCTCCATGACGTCTGTCAAATCCGTTATCCTATTGAATGACATACCCCGTGCCCACTCGTAGACGACCTCGACCATTCCAAAGCGGGGCTTGCTGACGAAGTCATTCGAGTCATCCGCCGACAAGATGACCTGATGTTTAGTCTGAATCTCGTTGACCTTTTCTGAGATTTGGACAATTTTGGCCACGCCGCGTTCCAGGCTCGCTGTCAGAGTGGGCTCCACATCGGTCTTTTCCTGAAAGACAAATGCCGAGAGCAGTGCGACGATCTCCTCGGGCTCATACTCGGCGAGTACGTTTTCCAAAACAAGTTCCGTAAGGACCAGCTCGTCTGCCGAGTGGATCTGGATGCTGTAAGGACATGACTCGAAAGTAAAGGGACAGATGAGGGGCATACCTCGCAGGCTACCTTGCCTTTTAGCTCTACGCGCGAGCCCTCGTCAACAAAGCCAAGGTCTTTGAGGACCTGGATACGCTGTTCGTAATCGGGAAGGAGCTGGAGATTCTGGTCTGACATGAGCTGTCGGAGTGCATGGATGTTTTCCTTGATGAGCCACTGATCATGTTCCATGGCAAACTGCAGCGATTAGCATCATGCATACCTTTGCAGCTACTCAGTTCGCATTCCTTACATGTTTTAGGAAGTTGGGACACCTCAAACACTCTTTGCTAACTGCATTTAGTCCCTCCTTCTTGCGAGCCTCTTCCAGTTCTCGGAACTTGAGACTATTGATGCGGCTGTAATCGTATTCATCCCAGTCTTCGTAATCCCATGACCCGCACAGTGGCAAGAACTGGTCTTGGGCCAGCTTTAGCGTATCTAAGGTATTTTTAGCGCCGTATTGCGGCCTTAGGGCGGGCGTTTACCTTTCTTTCGGTTGAGATTTTGGACAGAGTCAGGGACGTCAATGGTAGTCTTTGTAAAACACTCGATATCGTTCAAGGGTACAAATGCGGTCTTGAGAATCAGATCTCCCGGGTTGTTCGGCAGCTTGCGATACAGCGGTGCGAACGGACCGAGATATGGTAGTAAGTCGTCAGGCTTACGATCTTGATGTTGCGCCACTTCCAAGACCTTCACCGTAGGTTCATTACCTCTGCTCGTACCATCCTGCATGAGCATGCCTGCTGTGCGTTTGTTATCCTAGTAGCGACGAGTTAGACCGATCTCGAGTGTTGGAGCAGATGGTGTACCTTTTTGTAAACAATCAGTCGATTCTTGCTAAAGACTCGCCGCCCAACAGGGTTAATGAGAAGGCTCAAGTGCATCTCATTGGTTAGCCTCTTGTAGTCCTCACAGGACTGGTGGCAGGCTTCTAGGTCGATATCGCAAATGTCGCAAGGTTCACGTTTGATCTTCTCCAATTCGGCTTCTGAGAGCTTGACCTTGCCTTGGTGCTCTGGCAATAGAGCTTGTGTCGCATTCTCGCTGAAACTCCGTTTGATCATTTCTTCAATCTTCAGTGCTTCAACACGCAAAAGGTTCAACATCATGTTGTATGTGAGACGGAATTGTGACCTAAGCTTGGTGGGTTCGCCAAGCATCATCTGTCGAAGCCTTGCTGCTGGTGGTGCCTCGTCGGCGCCAGGCGCGCAGATGATGACAGTGCCAACTGTGTCAAGACCTCGACGTCCTGCACGACCGGCCATCTGAGTGTATTCACCGGGAAGTAAGTCGCGAAACTCTCGACCGTCGTGCTTTCGGAATCCGGAAAAGACGACTGTTCTGGTAGGGAGGTTAAGGCCCATGGCAAAAGTCTCAGTTGCAAAGAGGACCTTGACGAGCGTTTTGGCAAAGAGTATTTCTACAACCTCTTTGACAATGGGCAACATGCCACCGTGATGAACCGCAATACCTCGCCCAAGTAGCTCTCTCAAACGTTTGATTTGTGGGAGTTCACGGTCTTCGCGGCTTAACCTGGCCAGTGACTTTTCGATGGTCATATGAATAGCACTCTTTTCTGCAGCGGTGCAGTAATCAATGTTCGAGAGTGCTTCTGCATTTTCTTCGCAGCGCTTTTTCGAGAACACGAATATACAGGCTGGTAACAGATCTTTCGTACGCAGATGTTGGATGAGATGCACCCATATGTTACGATCCTGTGCAGCTGTAGTGCGACCTCCGCCACGGCCTGTCCTTGCAATGTTTCCACGGCCTCTGGCTGCTGGTGGGCCCCCGCCGCGGGGAGCACCGCCTCGGCTGCCGCCTTGTTGTCCTCTTCCCCGTTGGTTCTGGCCTCCTCTAGCAGATGAGCCTCCACGGCCACCACCACCTCTGCCAGCCTGTGAGTCGTTTGTGGCTGGTACCTTGACTTTGTCTTTCCCAGAGAGGATGTCGTTTGCGTCTTTCCAGCCGCTGTCAATGAACTTCTTGTCTGCTGTGACAATTTTGTGCATGCCTTTTCCAGCCCAAAGATAGTGCTCTAGGGGGATGGGCCGCTTGGGCGTAGATATAACATAAATGTCTTTCTTCTTCGTGCGACCCACCCAAGAAGCAAATTCATAGGTATTTGGAACAGTAGCAGACAAGAGA